TTTATTGTTAAGAAGGCACTAAGCTTACAACTTTTTTTTTTCAGCACGCAAATGAAACATATATTTACGAAAAACTTCACTATACGTCGGTAAGTTAACAGAATGGCCGAGCGACGGCAGATATTCTCCAACTAGCCAAATGTCAACCATTTTTAACAAACTGTCGTACTATTCTCTATCAGTTCTCTGCTTGTTGTCTTCTTCAAACGCACTACTGATTGATCATACATCCTAAGATCGCATCCTTTTTTATACTAAAGCATAGGTAGAAAAAGCCAAGGTAGAAAAATTTACGTAGAAATAAGTACTTGAGACCGTTGCTTGCCTGTAGGAGAACACTGTTAGTGTGTGTGTTTTTTTAATGAATACCCAAAAGGAAGCCAGATAAACAATATGCTTTATGCGGGTACTTTTTTGGCACCTCTATAGGGTAGGAATTTAAAAAAAAAACACATATAAAGGAATCCTGATGAATGTGGGCGTCTTAGTGGAATACCTGTATAATGAGAGAGAGAAGGATTAGTATTTTCCATTTAATTCCACTACTTTATTTGCTTATCCTTGACAGATACGCGTATTTCGTCTACAATGTGCAGACTTCTTCAGTGTCTTGTACTAATACTCGACTACTCGAGTATTAGTACAAGACACTGAAGAAGTCTGCACATTGTAGACGAAATACGCGTATCTGTCAAGGATAAGCAAATAAAGTAGTGGAATTAAATGGAAAATACTAATCCTTCTCTCTCTCATTATACATATAAAGGGTTGTCCCGTATTAGGTGGAGATTTTAAAAAGTCATTGTACTTTCGTCAGATTGTACTGTAAACTAAACAGCACTAACGGTTGTCCTGTACAATTTTCGGAATTATTCTACGATTTATTTCTGTCTATGCTTCTATTTTACGTGGTCTCAGATACTAAAAAGTAATATCATCAAATGTTTTGAAGTTTGGATTCTTAAAAATTCCAAAACACAACATGATGATATTTTCAGATACATGCGTTTGGTAAAAAGTATTGGTTTTTACAAACCTATTTTGATTTTTGGACCACCCTAATGAAGAATAATTGGACCACCCTAGTGAATTATTTCGTATTAGATCCTAAATGGTGGTTTAATTTGATATATAAGCAGGTTGGAGACAATTGTGAACAGTTTTAGAAGCCGACTCATCAATCTTCTATATTCCATATAGAACTCATGAAACAAAATTCCCAGAAAGTCGATTTTTGAAAAAAAAAAAAAAAAAATTTCGAGATAACACCAAATCTCGACGTTTTATGCATTTTTAAGACATTTGGCATAAAAAAAAAATCGATTTCCGAACTTTCTAATACCCCCCCCCCCCCCTGAGGAGATTTTCGAGAGTGAAAAAAGTCAAACTATGACGCTTTTGCGCCACCCCTAAATCATGTCCGATTGAGCTCAAATTTTGCATAGGGTCATTTTTCGAGGAAATAAACATTTTGTGTATGGTTTGTTAGCGAAATTTGATGGTCAAATTTTTCCCATACATTCATTGGCAGTCTAATACACATACAGTGAAAGATGGAGAGCTTCCACCGCAGGGGAACTCTCCGTCGGAGTAGGCTGAATCCATCGCCGGAGGTTAGCTGAGTAGACCGTGAATTCGCTGGGGCTCACAAAATGGAGGGACGATCAGCGAACTATTTTGACGACCAAAACGACAGCCGGAGAAAGGATCAATCGCACTTTCAGGTATCTTAAGAGGTTAAATAAGAAGACAAACCTCGGTCAAATAGGGTTCAAATTCGTTTGGATGAGTGGATACCTAATAGCTCTGGTCCCTCAATGATTCCTGGAAATCTGCCTGAAGATTCTACAAGTGTCGTTCGTAACCCTCCTACCTTGAGTGAGGTGCAGCAGATCATCAACAGCATGAAGAACGGAAAGTCTCCTGGAATAGATGGTCTCTATTCCGAATTTTTCAAATACTGCGATGAGCGAACGATTCAAGAGTTCCACAGCCTTCTAGTGAGAGTTTGGAATGAAAACAAGTTGCCCGAGGAGTGGAAGAGAGTTCTGGTAGTTCCAATACCAAAGGTTAGGAACGCTAAATCGGTGGATGAGTATAGGCGTATTAGCCTAAGCTGCACAGCATACAAGGCGTATGCGTCTTGGATTCTACAGCAACTTCAAGGATCAATTGAGTCAATAGGACTTCACCAAGCTGCATTTCTTCCGGAACGGTCAACAACTGATCACTTACAGGATTCTGCAAGAACGATGGAATGGTGGGAGACCTCTTCTATTGATGTCCCTTCGTTCGATCAAGTATCTCTTGATGCACTACCTCTGGTTTCCTCTCCTTTTCTTCTCCGTTTTTTGATACCATTGTATAGCACCGCTAAATGGCTACCAGTCGTATATGAATGTTCCACATTATCAATAAAAATCAGGGGCTGTTCATAAACTATGTAGACAGTTTAGAGAGGAGGGGGTGGCAATCATCCACGGTCCATAACAATTTAAAAAAAATGTACGGACAATTGTCTACGCAGTGGGAGGGGGAGGGGTCAAGAATCCCAAAAAACTGTCTACGGAGCTAATGTACAGCCCCTCATTAAAAATAACTTGAACGAAATTTTTCAAATCACTCATAAGCCCACATGCTAAAACGGCCTAAGATATATATTTTTCGTTCCATTAGGTTCCATTGATAAGTCTAGTGTCGTAGAAGGGCCGAAGACTGAAAATTTTCAAATCAAGGCTAGGCCCTACTGCTTGAGGCAGGGCCGATGATTTGTTTTGCATTTATTGACGTTAAAAAAAAGGCTTAGAAAAGTCCCTACCATTTCTGATGACAAGCACAACGGCTTAACAAATAGGGCCTAACCATGAAAAGATTCACTAAAAGGCTTTTTATTTATAAAATTAAAATGTTATAGATTTTCATGTATGTTTGAAAACTTTTCGCATAGTTTGAATGTTTTTTTTTCTTTGATTTGTTTTCCGTCGATCTTGTTTTCCATGCTGAGCACCAATGCTACCGACGCCAGGGAGGCAGCTCCCACACCTGGACCCTACCTATCGACCCATCAACTCATGAACCGGGGACCAACGGCTTTACTTCCCCGAAGGAAGGCGTGATCAGAGATGTTATGCCTCAGAACATCCCGGCGGCACCGACTGGGATTGAACCCAGCCCTGCTGGGGTGAGAGGCAATCACGCTTACCACTAGATCAGCGGCACCGCTAAGATCCATGTTCGCCGTGGTTTATTTTGAGGCTATAGGGAATGAATCTACCTAATTTTAGTGCTTTGCTCCCAATCGCCACTGGTGACTCCAGGGGGCATGTGTCCCCCCTCCCTCATTTGTCATCAGACACTTTAACCACAAATGTAGCAAGCATATTTTGCCTGTCATAATAAATAGTCTATATTTAACAGCTGGAGCCGTTAATGTCAATCTATATCAAAAATCGCCTTGACCTAAGAGTTCTCACGTTTCCTTTCAAAAAACGAATTCTCACGTGTTGTATCAAATACACTGGAACCTCCATTTACAAACCAAACCGGGAGTTCGTAAATCAAATTAGTGCGTAATAAAAACCACGTTATCGAGTGACGTGTAGGGACCGGAAATCGATGTGTGGCGTATTTTGCAATCCAAGATGACGGCATCCGGTTACAGAAAACCTGGAAAATAATGTCAAATATCCCACAATATGGGGTATTTTTTTGGAATCAGGGTGACGCGAGCAACTGGAAATCTATGCCTGAGCATCCGTTGCATTGTAGTTTCAATCAAAGACGGTTCGCTTAATGGGGATGAACATAAACTAGTAAACAACACTGTTTGCAGTGTCCAAATGTAATGAACCTCCGGCTTTTGATAAAAGATAATCGGCTGTAGTCGATTACTGGATCCGAGTGTAGGTAGCCAAGTATCAGGTCCAGCAACTTGCAATTCCTTGGCGCGAATACGACTCTCCGCTTTCGAAAACGCATGTCAGCGGCAAATAGCAACCAATACAGCAGCATGACGTACAACCAATATCCCTTGGAGGATGGAACGCAGTTCTCGCAGGGCTTCTTTTGCATAGATGGTCTGATTCCTTTTGAAATGGATAATCATGTTCTTGGCCATCTTCGAAAATAGGAACCGGATTAATAATCAAATAAGCATGAAAAACTCCGAGGAAAAAAACAAACGTCGTCCAAGATGGCGGCATCCAACTATAGAAAAACTGGGAAAACTGTAAAATGCCCTTCAATATGGGTATTTTCGGAATCGGAACGCCGTCTAGAGACCGGAAATCGATGTCTGACGCCAGATTGAAAACAAAGATGGTGGCTTCCGGCTATAGGTTCATTGTGGATTGATTAGAGGAAAAGATTTCGAATTATGGATATAGGAAATTACTGAACATTAAAAGAATAATGCGTGAAGGGACTGATAAAATCAGGTCACTACTGTAGTTTATATTTTAATGGATATTAAGAGACCAAACTTGCTTATATGTATAGGAAAAATCCCAATTTATTCACCTATGGTCTGACCCTATTTACACTCAATATGACTACCAATGATCTTATTTAAAAATTCTCACGTCATTTGATGTGGCACATGATTGATTTAAAAAAAGGCAAATCTGGCCACTTCCCCAGTGCAACCGGAACATATCCGGATTCAGCAAATCTGGTTCAGGGTACTAGATATCATTGTTATTGAACTTGTTTTCGAATTCTGATGTAATTTATTGTGTCGCATGTTGGGTTTTGAACTTACTCATAAGCTGGTTATTTTCCCTGAGACACTGAGAACTTGTTCCGGCCGTATCTCCGGAATTGTATGACCAATTTTGAAACTATTCCGTAGCGATCTATGTAATCATAATCCCGACCAAAGTAAAATATCAAATTGATAACAAGTTCTATGACCCGGTCATCACTTTTTGATAATGTCCTGCAAAATACCTCAGCGGCGAAACCTGCCCAAACATGTTCAAGGAGTTACTGCGCATCGTTCTTGATCTATTTGGATGTGTATAAGAAGCTCAAGTGACGTTCTAGGTCATCCAAAGCATTCTGTAGTTTAGAACATTTGACAACCAAGGCCTGCACAATATCCTCAGCGTCGAAACTTGCTCAAACATGTTCAAAGAGGTTCTGTACATCGCTCATGATCAGTTTGATGTATATATGATGCTCAAGGTTACCAAATTGTCCTTGATCTCAGATCAAATAATGTACCAGGTCAGTCATAACCGGTACAAGGCCCTTACTGCCGTGAGATGACAAAGTGACGTAAACGCCACCATGGTCAATTTTCACTTTTCTTCATATTCATAATCTATACCCTAAGATACACCAGAAAACACTCTCTTCGTGATAAAAATGTGTTTTGGAAGCCTGGAGTCAAAGTGACGTAACCATACATTTTCGGAGAAAGAGTAATATGTTTTCACTGTTTCTACGGATAAGTGACGTCCACCATATAAGAATTTTGAAAATTCAAAAGAAGTTTTAAACAGTGAGGTTCATATTTCCGCTTAATTTTGACATTTTTTAACAGAATGAAATTTTTTTTGGCAAATTTTTATAATTATTGCAAGTTTATGCACCCAGGTCCATGACTATAATGTACATCATTTTCGTTGTAATTGATTGTGTATGAGATGTTCTTGGTTCTCCATGTTGCTTTGGAGTTCAGATTATTTGAGCTACTGGCTCAACCATGAACTGCACGATGTCCTCAGCGACAAAACCTACAAAGACATGTTCATAAAGTTTCTGCGGATCGTTTTTGATTTATTTTGATTTATAATCAAGGTTCTCCATATTGTCTTGAGCTCAGATCAAATGATTTACCTGATCAACCATAACTGATACAAGGTCCTTAGCAACTAAACATCTCCAAACAACATCAATTTAAGGTGTATTAGAAGTTCTAGGTTCTTCAAATTGTTCTAGAGGTCAGATTATTTGATCAACTAAAATCTGCACGATGATCTCACCGACAAAACTTTCCGAAACACGTTTATACAGTTTCTGCTGTTCGTTTATAGTTGATTTTGAGGTGTATAAGATACTCACGGTTCTCCAAATTGTCCTTGAGTTCAGATCAAATTCTCATCCAGGTTCACTGATTCAAAGCCCTTTGTATTAAAACATCTCCAAACAGGGTTAAACATATCATGCATATTATTTACGTTTAATTTCGATATGTTTAAGGCGTTCTTGGTTCACCAAATTGTCCTCAAAACTTGTTAATTAGGCTACCATTTCGCATTTTAGTTTGATTACATTCATAGATCAGGGGGCCTCCATAAGTTCGGTCGGTAGAGCCTGCGACTATAAAGCAAACCATGCTGGAGGCGGCTGGGTTCGAATCCCGGTTGGTCTATATTTAGGATTTCAGATTGGAAAATTTCTCGACTTCCCTGGGCATAGTATATTATTGTACTTGCCACACAATATACACATGTAAAAATCGAACAGGCTTGGAAAGCTTTCAATTAACAACTGTGGAAGTGCATCTAGAGCACTAAGTTGAGAGCAAGCGTTAGGTTACAGTTGGGACGTAATAGCCAAAGAAGATCATAGATAGCACTAACTAGCGGAGGAATTCCGAATTGTTCTGTCCATCATCCAACAGTCCTTGACCTCCTGATCAACATTGCCGAAGAAATCATCCGTCTATATCATCGGTATCTTGAGATACAGCATTCAAATCATGGAAAATTGGAGATTTTAGGGCAAAACTGTGAGAAACACCAACTTACCCTATTGTACTCAAGATGAAACTCACTCCAATCGATTCCTGAGACTTTTTTTTCTATAAGAATAACTATTTTTTAGTCTCTTGTTCCAGCGAGCACCGAAGTTTTTGAATTTTAACACATTGTTTCGATTTTGTCCCCAGTGTGCACTGGTTTAAGAATGTGGCAACACTTCAGAACTTTTTAGGACTAATAAAATCTTTGAGACACATGGTATTAGGATGCATCAAGGCTTAATCGAACGATTTTTTTGGTACATCAATTTCAATAGAAGTATTTAAAATAAAGATTTTTAGAATTTTCAGAGCATTTCCGACTTTTTCAAATGTTATATTTTAACTAACCTGACAACGCTTTCCATTCAGCTAGTGCAGTAGAAAGAACAGAGCGGAACACTGAAGAAAGAAAGTCAACATCCCACCACATTACATTCTGCCTATTTCACGCATATTATCTGCTCCCTACACCCATGCTATCCTATTGTAAATTTGTGTTTATCGCGTCACCTTTTTCCGTTGAACAACGGTTGAATAAAAAAAAAAAACGACAATCGAAAAACAGCGAATCGAATCAATTTCCTCCCGCGACGTGCACCGTTTTCCAATTTGATCCAAAACACACCAAACAATGTTCGATACAGGTACTTTGTCCGGCGAGGACTGAACTGAAAGGAAACACGTGCCTGCCGAAAATGCAGAACGAATTTGATTATTCTCTATTTATTCAGCACCTTTTCGAAGTAGGGAAGCAGCACCTTGCCATTTGCTAGAAATTAAACTTATTAACGGTATTTACTGGAAAATTACTCCACTCTCGAGCTAAGGGGAAAGAAAAATACCCACTATCACTTACCACTGTTTGCAGTTCTATTACCACCACCGGTAACATTGAACTTGCCGGTTAGCGGCGGAAAAAAAATCCATTCCGATAGGTCCGCTTATCAGTTGTCAACAAACCGATCGACACCGATTCTCTGTCGTCAAATGACTCAATTAGTCGGTTGGCCGCGACAATTGATTTGATTTACTACTGAACAGCTCGTAGCTCAAGTACCTTAAATAGACACTCAATGTTTACCCAATGCATTTATATGCCTAGTGCCAAGTTCCCTTCCGAGATGCGACGACGCGGACGTGCAATCTGAACTTGCAGTTTAAATACCTACCTAACCATTTTAGTTGAAGGGCTTTCCTGTTTATAGTTTCAGCAACTATTCTCGCTCGCGAAAATGGCACAGATAATGGATACAGATAAAGTACTCCCAAGGGAGTCGGCTCAACCCTTCCTACCACGGCACGGGTTCGCTTCACTCTAATCATAATTGAATTAACGATGAATTAAACTTCCACATGCAATTTGCTCATTAGTATGAGAAAGTTTGCGCTAAACGATGCTTCACGGCTCGCACTTCCCCCGTTCGCTTCATTGTTGTTTCAGCAATAACTATAGCAACAGATTGTGTTTAGACAACCAGTAACACCCCCACCTCCATTCTGGTTCTTTGCGCTATGCTGATGAAGTACGTTCCCGAAGTGCAGATCCAAATCGTGTGAAGACTTCAAAACGAAAAAATGGTTCATTGTTGTCATCGTATCTATCTGAGCTTTTCACCTAATTGAAAGAAGTAAGAAGCAATGTCGTCCCGTACGTCACGTGCTCCCGGATTCCTCGCCGCCAAATTAGGTTATGTTCCCCGCCAGATGGTACAAATTAGATTATACGAAAGCGCACTTGTTTGGCTGTCATTTGTCCACTGGTCGCCGTGTTTTTTTTTGGGAACAATTTGTTCTACTTGTCAGCTGAGCCGTGTTCGCTGTCTTGTTGCCCGTGCTCTTCGATCAAACTGGACACCGGAGTTGCGTTAGGTTGATTGCCCTAGTATGCCCGCTTTGATAGTGATTAAATTGTCAGTGTTTAACAAACGGTCAGCGCGATAGCCATCTAGCAGATCGTGTACCGAAGGTTGAAATTTATTGCTAATTGAGTTAGCAAAGTTGGTAGAGGAAATTCGATTACGCGCAGCAATACGGAGCCGGAAAGGAAACCTTATTCAAAACGATAACTCGTTCCTCGTTTAGTCTTGACTTTTCTTTTTAGCCTATGGCATCGGTGGTCAGTATTCAAAATGCCTTCCATGATGGCTCCCGCACGCTATTTCCCGTGCAGACTTGGAGAAAACCAGTAGCAACCTTTAAATGTGCACCACCACCACCAGCACCATCATCCTTTCCAGCTGCTAATTTCCTTCCACCAAACTCCACACTGACTGACCGAATCGAAACACAACCACCACACTCTGCGGCCGTCGCTAATTCCTCAAATGCATAATTAAATACTTGCAAAACTGGCTTCTGCAACTGCGGGCAGCACGCGAAAAACAGAAGCTCCAAACAGGTAGCCATCGGGGGCAATCCAATTCCACTTATGACTTTTATTCGGGAGCACGAGATGATACATTTTGAATCATTCGGTATTTAAGTGCGAGGCTCGAGCAATATCCATTGGTGGAGAAGGGACTGCCGCATTAACAGATCTACGCGATTTTCTCCTTTGAGGATTTGGGTTTATAATTCCGAAAAGGGATTGAATTTTGATCGAAAATTTTCTTGAATAAGCACATGTTTCATTTCTTCGTTTTGCATTTACTCATGTTTTCTTCTTCTCTCTTTTGCAGGTAAGCATCTAGTTAACATCGGGAAGAGCGATACCAAAATCATTACAGGTGAACAAATTTTAAAATAAGATATAATCTTTGGGAGCACACTCAGACAAACATATTGTGAAATCCACGATGAATATTTTGAAGCGACTTTTTTTTATATCAGTGGTTATCTTGGCTTGCTGTTGTAGAGGTTTGTTTCGATTTCGCGATTGTCAAAAGTGCAATGGTTCAGGGACAACTATATTGTTTTTGTTGGTTCTTCTGCCACGGATGGCCAATTCCTGAACTGGAAATTAACCGGGAATCGAAAACAACCGGGAGTTTCATCGGAGCATTACAGTATTGTACCCATTTGAATCAACATATATCGCTTAAAATCTTGAATATTTCTTCAAGCCTGATTTTTTTTCTTTTCATAGAACATGCCAGAATGCCAAAAATTAAGTCTGAGATTATGTTAAAAAACAAGTAAGGAATGTCCCAGAGTCCGACATTTTGAATATTTTTGAAAACGTTAGAGCCATAAAAACTTCATGTTACAAATTTTAGAAAATTTCACCATTCCTGGGATATTGAATGAACGAACGTCCACAGAGGATTTTTCTCACATAGATTTTCTGAAATTTCTAGCTCCATAATCTGCAGCAGTTTTGGATCTTGAATTTTGTTTTCAATCGAATTCTCAGAATCTAAAGGTTTTTTGTTAATCCTGGATTTTGAATTTATTTGCACGGAATCATGAAAAAATTCCATTGTTTAAATTTTCAAAATAGTTCAATTTCTCTACAGATTTTTTTTTTATAATAAACTTGGAATATTCCTTGCAAATCTCCTGTTTTTTTTTATCCAGTTCGATTATTTGGGCTCAATCGCATTAGCTTTACGGGGCCGATCAGAAGATTTCTGTGTGACCAAATCATTAAACCCATTGTGGAAAAACGAAGCGTTTCACAC